ATTGTTCTCCTGTTTTATTTTATCTTATAAATTCTTATTTTTTAAATTAATTCTCTTCTATCGTTTGGCACTTAAGCATCGTTCATAATTCTTCAAATTGTGAGTCTGTTTTTTTTTATGTATATTTCTCGACGTTTTTACGTTATTTTTCAAGATTTTTCACCCGCGTTTTTATTCCTATTACAACAGTTAAAATGTGATTCGGGATTCTCGACACCTCGTAATTGTTATTGTCTTCCCGTCGTTCTGATTATTTTAATAAGCATTATAGGTCTTTGCTTTCTCCATTTTGTCAGCATTATTACTTTTATTATCAGGTAGATGATGGGGGACTTGATCCTGTACGTCGTTAGAGTTCTTCCGTTTGCGCTTTCTTTTTCTTATAGATTTTATCTGTCTGTCTTTTTGTTGTTGTTTTTTTCCTGAGTTCTTCGTATTTCTTCGTTTTAGCTACACTTTCATTGTTTTCTACTTTCGTAGCATCCTTCTTGTCGTTTCCCAGCGGCAACATGGCGACATCTCCTCCTACTTTTAACCTCATCTCATTTTCTTAACAGTCTGCAAAATATTTCCTCATTCTGCTGCTTTATAGTATTAGCTGAATTATCATCATCACCATCATTATCATCTTCTCTTTCTTCTTCTTGTTTTTCTTCTTCTGTTAGTCCTTGCTTTCCTTCTTACTCTTCTTTAGCGGCTAAAGCTTCGTCCTCTTCTTTTTCTTCTGTTACGCCCCACTCTTCTTATGTTTCGCCTTCTTCTCGCTTCTTCTAATCTTGTGTTCAACTATCATCATCATCTGTTACATCTTGCTTTTCCCTTTTTTTTATTCTTCTTCATATACGCCCGAATCCTGTTACTCTGTTACTTCTTGCTTTTCTTACTCATCTTTGTTCTGCGCCAAACTCCTCTTTCTCTTCTATTACATCTCGCTCTTATTTCGTGCCTTGCTGCTCTTTCTCCTATGTTACGTCTCACCTTTCTTTTTCTTCTTCTTCGTTTGGGGCCCAATCTTCTACCTTATCTGTTACGTCTGTCTCTTCTTCTTCTTTTGCGCCCAATTCCTGTCTCTTCTGTTTCGTCTTCACTGTTCTTCTTCTTCTTCTTCTTTTTTTTTTTCTAACTTTTTACGCTCCATCCTCTTTTCTTTTTTTACGTCAGACGATTCGTCTTCTTCTTATTATTCATCTTTTTTCTTTTCCTAACTTTTTAAGCCCCACCCTCTTCTTCTTTTGTTACGTCAGACGATTCTTCTTCTTCTTCTTCTTCTTCTTTTTTCTTTTCTTAACTTTTTATGCCCGACCCTCTTCTTCTTTTGTTACGTCAGACGATTCTTCTTCTTCTTCTTTTTTCTTTTCTTAACTTTTTATGCCCCACCTCTTCTTCTTTTTTTGTTACGTCAGACGATTCTTCTTCTTCTTCTTCTTCTTCTTCTTCTTCTTCTTTTTTTCTTTTCTTAACTTTTTTATGCCCGACCCTTCTTCTTCTTTTTGTTACGTCAGACGATTCTTCTTCTTCTTCTTTTTTTCTTTTCTTAACTTTTTATGCCCCACCCTCTTCTTCTTTTGTTACGTCAGACGATTCTTCTTCTTCTTCTTCTTCTTCTTTTTTTTCTTTTCTTAACTTTTTTATGCCTGACCCTCTTTCTGATTTTTGTTACGTCAGACGATTCTTCTTCTTCTTCTTCTTCTTTTTTCTTTTCTTAACTTTTTATGCCCCACCCTCTTCTTCTTTTGTTACGTCAGACGATTCTTCTTCTTCTTCTTTTTTCTTTTCTTAACTTTTTATGCCCCACCCTCTTCTTCTTTTGTTACGTCAGACGATTCTTCTTCTTCTTCTTCTTCTTCTTCTTCTTCTTCTTTTTCTGCCCCCCCTCTTCCCCCCCCCTACTGTTCCCTTTTTTCTTATTTTTCTTCTTTTTTTCATCATTTTCCTATTTTCTGTTACATCTCGCTTTTCATCATTTTCCTATTCTTCTTTTCTACGCTCCACTCTTCTTCTTCTTCTTCGTCTTCTTCTGCTACGTCTCTTTTTTTCATTTTTTTTTACTTTGTTTGCCACTCTTCTTGCCTCTCTGTTACGTCTCGCTTTTCTTCTTTTTCTTTTTTCATTTTCTTATTCTTCCTCTTTTGCACCCCACTCCTCTTTTTCTTTTATTCCGTCTTGCCTTTTTTTTTCCTTTTCTTTTTGTTCTTCTTTTACGTTCCACATCCCTTCCTTTTCTGTTAACGTCTCGCTTGTCCTTTTTTCTAATTCTTATTTGGTCAGCGCCCCACTCCTCTTCCTATTCTCTTACGTATCGCTTTTGTTTCCTGTACTTTTCGTTATTTTTTGCGTCCCATTCTTTTTCGTCTTCTGATACGTATAGATTTTTTCTTCTTCTTTTACCCCACACCTTGCGATACATTTCGCTTTTCTTATATTCCTTCTTCTTTTGCGCCCTACCACTCTTCTTTTTCACTTACGTCTCGCTTTTTTTCCATTTTCATTTCTTTTCTCATTCTTCTTCTTTTGCGCCCCGCACTTTTTCCTCTTCTGTTACGTCTGGCGTTTTTCCTTTTCTTTTCGCTCTTCTTTTGCGCCCAACGCCTATTCGTCTTCTGTTACGTCTCGCTTTTACATTTTTTTTTGTTTTTCTTTTGCGCCCCACACCTGTTTCTCTTCCGTTACATCTTGCATTTTCCTTTTCTTCTTCTTTTGCGTTCTTCTCCTCCTCCTCCTCTTCTGCTATATCTCGCATTTCTTTTTTGTTTTCTTCTTCTTTTGCGCACCACTCGTTCTCTTCCGTTACGTCTCACTTTTCTTCTTTTTTCTTTTTCTTCTTTTTTCTTTTTCTTATTTTTTCTTTTTCTTATTTTTTTTTCTCCTCCAGCCACTTCTTATTCTATTCTGATACGTCTCGCTTTCTTTTTTTTCTTATATCTTCTACTTTTGCTCCGCACGCCTTTTCGTCTTCTCTTACGTCTCGCTTTTTTCCTTTTATCATTCTCCTTCTTTTGCAACCCACTCCCCCTCTTCTGTTTCGTTTCGCTTTTCTCTATTTATTCATCTTCTTTTGCGCCCCTTCTTATGTCATGTCTTCTTCTTCTTCTTCTTCTGTGCCTCACTCCTCTTCGTCTTCAGTTACGCCTCGTATTTTTGTTTTTCTACTTCTTTTGCGTCCTACTCCAATTCCTCCTCTCATACGTGTCGCTTTTCTTCTTTTCCTTTTTCTTCTTTTTTTTTGCGTCCCACTCCCCTTCCTCTTCTGTTACTTCTCGCTTTTATTCTCTTTCTTACTCTTCTTCTTTTCCTCCCCACTCCTTTTCCTCTTCTCTTACGTCTCGCTTTTATCCTTTTTCTTATTCTTCTTTTGCGTCTCACTTGTCTTTCTCTTCGCTTAAGTCTCTTTTTTTAAAAACCTTTTTTAATTCTTTTGCTACCCCCGCCACGTCCTCTTCTGTTACATCTGGTTTTTCTCCCTTTTCTTTTTTTCCCCTATTCCTCTTCTTTTCTGTTACGTCACGCTTTTCCTCTTTTTCTTCTTCTTCTTTTTTTTGCGCCCCTCTCCTCTTCCTCTTCTGTTACATCTAGCTTTTTTTTTCTTTTTCTTCTTTTTTATATTCCAATCCACTTCCTCTTCCGCTATTCACGCTTTTCATCTTTTTTTTATTCTTCTTCTATTGCGCCTCAATCTTCTTCCTTTATTCTTACGTCTTACTTTTCCACCTTTTTTTGTCTTATTGTAGTTCTTCTACAGCCCAGTATTCTCTCCATTCTGTTGCGTCTCGCTTTTTTTCTTTTTCTTATAATTCTTCTCTTCCACCCCCCAGTCCTATTACTCCTCCGTTACGTCTCCCTATTCTTCCTTCTCTCACTATTCTCTTGCGCTCAACTCCTCCTTCTGTTTCTTCTTGCTTTTCACCTTTTTCTTATTCGTCTTCTTTTTCGACCCACTCATCTTCATTTTCCTCTTCTGTTACGTCACGCTATTTTTCCTTTTCTTCTTCTTCTTCTTTGTCACCCCACTCCTCTTCTATTACGTCTCGCTTTTATTCTTTTTTCTTATACTTCTTTTTTTGCTCCCCACTCCCCTTACACTTCCCTTACGTCTCACTTTTTTTCATTTTCTTTTTATTATTCTTTTGCGCCCCACTAATCTTTGTCTTCTTTTGCATCTCGCTTTTTTCCCTTTCATCATTCTTCTTCTTTTGCGCCCCACCCCTCTTCCTCTTCTTATCCATCTCGCTTTTCTTCTTCTTCTTTTTTGCACCCCCAACTCTCTTCCTCTTCTTATACATCTCGCTTTTTTTTTTTTTTCTTCTTTTTTTGCGCCTCAAATTTCTGGTACACCTCGCTCTTGTTGTTGTGGTTCTTCTTGTTTGTTTTACAGTTAATTTTATTTCTTCTCTTTTATCTGTTGTAGCATTTTGATAAGACATCACTTTTTCTCGCACAATAAATCATTCTTTATTTTATCGTTGTTTTCACTCGCCATACTCGTTGGCCTTTTTCGTCTTCTCTCATTATTATTTAACATATTATTATCATTATTATTGCTATTATAATTCCTTATCAATATTTCTTTTCTTTCCATCGTTTCATCTCCTTGTGCTTCTTGTTCTTCTCCATTTTGGTATTGTTGTTTTAGTTGTTGCTTTTCTTCTTCTTCTTCTTCTTCTTCTTCTTCTATTCATTTTACTCTTTTTTTATTTTCTTCTTTTTTTCCTTCCTTTCCTGCCTCTATTTCGTCAGTCAAATCTTCTCTCGAATGTATGCTTCACCCTTTATTCCCTTGTTACCCTTTTCCCCGCCATGAATTCTCTTCTGTCACCTCTATTATTCCCGTTACGCATTTCATTTTTACCACATTCCTTGTTGTACTCTTGTAGATTTTTCGTCCCTAGTGCCTCGATCTGCTCTAATTACGTGGTCCCTTTTCACCCGGAAAGAAAATGCCTAAAGGGAGAGTACTCTTGTCACAACACGTTTGTGCAATGCCTCATTAAGCAGACAGCAAATTACAGGGAGTCGAAGTCAACGATTGCACGGAGGCAGTTCCCGTGCGTAGAATTGAAGGAAAGAAAATAAAGAGAACTTATGGAAGAAAGAAGGAAGGGAACACATAGATAGATAGATAGATAGATAGATAGATAGATAGATAGATAGATAGATATAGAGAGGGAAATTAATAATTTGAATAAAAAGTGGAGGGGGTGAAGACATAACGTGAGAGAAATGGGGACGTCACTGAAAATGCGTTAGAATAAGATCACTCACTAAGAGAAAAGCAAATGAATAAAATTGAAAAACAAGATTTCTGCCAAAAAATGAAAAGATAGAGAATAAAGATGAGCGCTTAGCGCAGGGGTTATCGGCGTGGAAAGCGGGATTTGGGGATGGTGAAAATGAAGACCAAACCATTGCGTTCTCTATCTCACAAGAACCCTTAGGAAAGATATGAATAAATCTCTTCTCCCTCAAGCTATGGGTTAAATAGCAGAGAAGAATTGTCGCTTTAGCTTTGGTCGGTAACCAGTCAAAAAGTAGGTCAACTGGGTGTGGGACTAGTAAATCCAACCCGTAAATTTTCCTTGCTATGAAAACTCCAGCATCAACACATACTGGTGTTTTTTTCGTTCGGTATTCTTACAATATGTTTAAATTGATATATATATATATATATATATATATATATATATATATATGATTGATGTTACCTTCAGCATCCCTACTCCAGAGTTTTCGTAGACCCGTCCGTAAAAAGACTGAAAGTAGTCTACGCATTTATATAAAGAAAAATCTATGTTGTTTTGTCTTTGGTTCCCCGCTCTTTCTCTCTCTCACCCTCCTCCCATACATAAATACATATATATATATATATATGTAATTAGTAAAATTAAAAATTTTGTCATTTAACTGATTGATGTTACCTTCAGCTTCCCGTCTCTAGATTTTCGTAGATGTGGTGTCCGTCCACTTGACAGCGGGTATCAGCAAGTGACTTTTTTACTATATATATATATATATATATATATATATATATATATATATATATATATATATATATATATATTATGGTCAAATTTTTGTCTGAATTTAATTATGGGAAAATTTAATATATATTTGGTTTAATTATTTCCTGCTAAGTTACGATAGTCGAACTTTCTTCCCCAGTAGTGCATGACAACCTATATCTAGAGGTTACCTAATTTACCCAGAGGTTACCTAATTTACCCAAAGCTTACCAAAATTTAGCTAGAGGTTACCTAATTTACCCAAAGGTTACCTAACTTACATAGAGGTTACCTAATTTACCCAAAGGTTACCTAACTTACATAGAGGTTACCTAATTTACCCAAAGGTTACCTAATTTACCTAGAGGTTACCTAATTTACCCAAAGGTTACCTAATTTACCTAGAGGTTACCTAATTTACCCAAAGGTTACCTAACTTACCTAGAGGTTACCTAATTTACCCAAAGGTTACCTAATTTACCTAGAAGTTACCAGATTTTTTAAATTCACCAGACCTAAGATTTCCATTAGCAGCAAGTTAGATTGGGCAAAAAAATATTATGTGGTAATGGCTTAATTTATTATTATTATTATTATTATTATTATCTATATAATAAATGTCAATGTTTGTGTGTCACTTTGTCAACCTTTTTTTAATTAAAAGCGGTACAATTCTCCAACGTCATTACCTCATATTACAGAAATTTTGGATTCACAATTTTTTATTAGTACGATTGTTTCGGTGATATTTTATGTCATTGTTCGTGATCTATTTTTTGTACGATAACACTTTTTATAATTTGGAAATAATCGAAATTAATTGCGAAATCCAGCGAAAGTCACCCTGAAATAAAAAAAATAATTGTTTGTACGGAAAATAAGGATCTACGCACATCAAGTTTTCTTTCTGTTATCTTTCTGTTCTATTTGGCGGTAGGAGAATTATCTTTGAACTTTTAAAAGGTAAGCTTAAATAGTAATACAATACTTAAATGCGACTGTCAATTTTGAGTTCTTCTGTAGTTTATTGTTGCCTATCGCATACGGCAGAGGTATGCCTCGCAAGAAGAAATCTCCGCCAAGAGAGGGCCAGAGTGGAATCAAAAGATCCAAAGCTCCAAAGAGGAAAAGAAAGTCCCATGCAAATGAAAACCCATATCAAACGGCAGGCAGGAGAACTTCCAATGCTGAGAATATGCAAAGACTTTCAACTCTCAAATTCCTGAACAAGCCAAAGGCTCAATCAAGAGCCCTCTGCAGGAGCTGGCGTAAATGCTGCCCGATAGGCTTTTCAGCTAGATGAGTATATCATAAAAACCCATCAGAAAGAGAATGTTGTTATATATATGTATATTTATTTGGAAAAATGCTCTTTTAGTTTTAGGTGATACTTGGAGACACAGAGAGTGGCCCCGAACTTTTGGTCTATAGTGGAGATAAGGAAGAATGAAAATTACGGAAAAATTAGAAATAAGAATGAAAGTAGAAGAGAAGAAAGATTTTCTTCAAGGAAATACAGTAACGCAGAATAAAAATAGGGAAAACAAAAAAAAAAAAGGCAAATATTAAGCTGTTCAGAAAATAATGTCGTATTTTTAGTGAAAGGTTAAGAACCAGTTCTAGTGTAACTAAAGGTAAATATATTTGTTAAAAAAAATAGTCATCATTATTAACGATCGCAACAATCAACACGGGAAACTAATTATTTTAAACTTTCAAATTACAACTCTGGACTAAACATGTATATCAAGCAATCTTTTCACACCTTGAATCTTGATGAACAACCGGCGGAATAATTAAACCATTCGTTTTCTACGGTTTATCAACCCTTAGCAGATTACTTAAAGACAAGGAATATTTTTAGATTGAAAGAATTTTTGTGCTTGGAGATTATAAGAATTTAGTGATACAAGTCTTACTAATTAACCCATAACTGGGGGGGGAAGTGTGGGTTCATAACTTTCCCAATGTTATTTGCGGATAAATATAACTAACCCAAGTGAGATTAGAACTCAGCTCTCCGATTATCAATTCTGAACCATTTTTCATTACACCACCTGCATCTCCAAACTTACAGCAACTGCTATTCCCAAGCGGTAACCCATCTAGGTACTGACCAGGCTCGACGTTGCTTAACATTGTTGATCGTATGGGAATATATGTTTCAACGTAATATGCCGTAAGCGTAAAGAAACTTTAATCTATAATGAATGTCTAGAATTAATACAAAAAAGATATGATTTTACCAAGTATTTTTTACCAACAGGTATTGTAAAGGAAAACTTTACCTTCATAAATACGAGAATACGTCACGTTCTCCAGGCTGACCATGAAAAACCACATCCAAGTAATCAAATCTTTATGTTACATTATAATAATTATATAACTGACTAATTAAACATTTCTTACAGCCTGCCTTATCGTCTGTGTTATTTGCAGAAAATACTCTAATAGAATAGCAGAATAAACAGTTGAGAGGAAAGTAAATCAATTTATAAATAGCGGACAAAGCTAGTTACTAATTGAAAAAGTAATTGTAAGTTAAAAAAAGAAAATAAATATTAAATTATTCTTTTTAAATCCTCAAAGATGAAGGGCATACTTGAAGCAATGGAGATGTGGTTCTACAGAAGATTAATGGAAATACCATAGACGAAACATGTCATCAAGATGAAGTTTTACGGAAAATGAGAACGAAAAGAAAACGAATAGCAGTACAAGGCCTGGAATGTATAATAAGGCAACAAATATTAGCGCTATATGTGATAGGAAGTTGTGGATTATCGCCCACGTTTTGAAGGGAACGAGGACCTAATAAAAGATTCCCCTTTGATTATCAACAAATTCAAACCGCTTTTGAATTACCGTATTTGACGGCATATAAGTTGCACGGGTGTATTAGACGCACACCAATTTCAGCAGGGCAAATCAAAAAAAAAATTGTAATTAGTAAAATTAGTAAAATCATTAGTAAATGGTACACCATAAGCTATATGTATGAGGTATTATTTGGGGTAAACAAGGCCTGATTACAAATAAATGAAAAATAATGGGAAAAAAACACGAGTCAATAAAAACTTTATTATATCCTTTACATGACCTGTAAAAACTGTGTCTTGTAAACGTCTTATTGGACAAAAAGGGCGTTTCTACTTAAAATTGGAAAGAAACAAAGAAATGAATGGCAGAGTAGTATGGTAAAAATTCCTAAGTGCTAGAAAAGATAGGAAGATGTTGAATACCATGATCAGAAGTAGTAGTAGTAGTAGTAGTAGTAGTAGTAGAAGAAGAAGAAGAAGAAGAAGAAGAAGAAGAAGAAGAAGAAGAAGAAAAGAAAGTCGTCTTAACTAAGAAATGAAAATTAAGAAGAAGAAGAAGAAAATGAAAAAAGGGAGAAGGTCGTGTCAACTAAGAAATGAAAATTAAGAAGAAGAAGAAGAAGAAGAAGAAGAAGAAGAAGAAAAACAAGAAGGTCGTGTCAACTAAGAAATGAAAATTAAGAAGAAGAAGAAGAAGAAGAAAAAGAAAAACAAGAAGGTCGTGTCAACTAAGAAATGAAGAGTAAGAAGAAGAAGAAGAAGAAGAAGAAGAAGAAGAAAAAGAAGAAGAAAAAGAAAAAGAAAAAAAAGGAAGAAGGTCGTGTCAACTAAGAAATGAAAATTAAGAAGAAGATCTGTTTTTGTTAAGATAAAGCATTCATGGACAATCTGCGGCCCAGGAGCCACATGCGGCCCGTTCGATCTTTCTGAATGGGACGCTTAATTTCATAAGGAAAAAAAGGTTTCTTTAAATTTTGTTTCGCTTTATTCTCACTTGTTCATTCACACACTCTCTCATGAATAACCAAATACATAAACAATAATTAAGTACAATGTTTCTTGAATTTGGGGCAAAAGTAATGTTGTCAGTATTTTAAACCATTAGCTATTTTCGCTAAGGAAGATCATACGTGTAAACATCTTTTGGTTTTGAAACAGGAATCGTTCATAAGAATTTTTTTCTCTGAAGAAGAAATGTTCCCATTTTGAAATGAATAATTTAGAAATAAATCACATGCAGCGACATTTTTTAATCTCACTGTTATCCGTGATAATATTAGACAAAGACTTAAATTTTTAAATTAATAAAAAAATGTTTTTTAAAACATACAACCTTCTTACAATTTCTAAGGTATATGCATATACGTGTTCTGTAGTGAAAATAGCTGAGGTACGTTTTAAGAAAAATTACCTTGAATCTTTTTAGTAGTGCAGCTCGTTTTGTGATGAGCCATAGATCATGCGATTCACTGTTCAAAAAATGGTTACCTGTGCCTGTCCTAGACAAACAGTGAATGGACGAATCCTTGTCTTACGCTTCATTCTAATTTTCTGTGCATATTCATTCCATCATTTATTCACATTCAGATATTTTTTTTTCCAAACGAATCTGAATTTTTCTAATATTGAATGAATCATTTCTTCCTAGGAGTTCATATTTTCTAATGCAGAGGTTCTCAACAGGGGTGAAATTCACTCCAGTGTTGTAAATTTTGGATTTTCAGGGGTGAATTATGACCAAAGTAACTTTAGTAGGGGAGGTGAGCAATTATAGAATTTGGTCTATCTGGCCTGTCACCTTGTCACATGTCTAGAGATTCTAAACTAGTCATCGTTAAACTGCGTCCCGTTTGGTCTTTGTGAATGGCACGCTTAATTTTATAAGGAAAATAAGGTTTCTGAAAATTTTGTTTCGTTCTTACTTGTTCACTCACACAATCTCTCACATATAACCACATACATAAACAATGATTAAATACAAAGTTTATTGAATTTTGCAATATTTTAGGGAAATCAATTTGAGCAGCGTTTTAAACCATTAGAGATTTTCACTAAGGAAGATCATACGTGAAAACATCACTTGCTTTTGAAGCAGGAAACGTTCATAAATTTTTTTCTCTCAAGAAGATATGTTTTCATTTTGAAGTGAATAAATTAGAAATAAATCACTCACAACGAACTGTTTACTCACACTGTCATCAGTGATAATATTATACAAAGATTTAAATGTTTAAATTAATAAAATATTAAAAAAAAACAAAACTTTCCTACCATTTCTAAGGTATATGCAATATACGGGTTCTAGTGAGACAATAGGTGAAGTACGTATTACGAAAAATTACCTTGAATCTTTTTAGGATTGCGGCCCGCCTTGTGATGAGCCATAGATCATGCGGTCCACTGTCCGAAAAAATGTTGCCCATACCTTAGATAAAACATAGCAGATGCAGCCAGGTTCTTTTTTGAACGGTACAGTAAGACGAATATTTTTTTCCAAAATCGTATATATGAGTTTCTACTTGAGGTCTGGTGTTAACTTGATTTTTGATTGTTATTCAATGCATAAAGCCTCACTGACAATCAATTCGTTCGTTGTGACGAGAGGAAGCTCGGGATGCTACGGGCGATTAAGAAATTTACAGTAACTCGGTTTTTAGAACTCATCTTTACTGTCATATTCATGACGTTTCAACCGTTTTACACTCTGACTTTATCCAGGTGATATACACTGAAATTACGAACCGAGCCCTTTATTTTGTCCGCCGAGATAGATTGTTCTAGTTCCACGTGTCGTGCCTCTTCTGGATGTCTCAGTCTCAGTTATTTACCTTTCGTATTTCAACTCTCCATGTTTTGGTTCATCTCTCTTGTGGCCAGGCATTGAACTCACAACTCTTTGGGTCAAGTCACTGGATTACTTCAACCAATGCTTTTATCTCCTGAACCATGTGTACTTGGGGACACGGCAGAGGAGAAACAAAACTTGGTGAGTTGAATTACTAAAGGGAGATAACTGAAACTGAGATATCCACGTGGAATTAGAAAAATCTACCCCCAATGCAGTTCTTTAGTAGTGAAAATGGAGTGATCTCTCCAGGTTGTATGCAGCCCAGATTACATACCCCACTCTCGGCCGTACCAACAAGATTCAAAGGAATACAGGGCATTACCTATGGAGCCGGGTGGCTGAAGGAGTTAGAAGAAGATTATCCGTGTTTGACAGCCAATCGCCTCCAGGGTTCCACCCAGGGATTTCTGTTTGGATTTACGTCTGTAGCTTCTTTCTTGTTTGGATATGACCACAAGGCAGCAGAGGTTTAAAATCAGGCTTTTCCTTTCCATAGATATACTGGCTTCTGAAGCTATTGAACTACATCTACCCGAAACAGCTGTTTATGAGGCGCCAGTTGATCGCCTTCGCCCATTCTACGGCTGGACTTAGTTGCCAAAGGCTATTTGAGACGGATGCCGCTAAATCATTTTATAGACATTGGGGGCTTGTCCCTACTATCATTCCCCACCACAAGCAACTATGACATCCTTTGCGACATATTTAATGTATGTATGTAAACATTATATACATTACGCATTTTAGAAGCTCTCAAAAATCATGATTGTGCAAGAAAGACATTTAGGTGAATTTATCTGCTAATTCAACGATTTTCGCCCTTAGGGCGTGTATTTAATATTTAATATTATAGATGTATAATTAAATTGTTCTGTGAAAGTGTATAAAGTAAGAAAAACATAACTTTTCATATTATTGTATGATTCATTTCATTATCTAGGCCAGCTTTGTCCCACAAGGCATTGTGAATAAGATCATATTGTCACAATAGTGTTTTTGTCATATAGCTTTAGTTGTGAAAGGGTTAACAGATGAAGAAAATCCGTTGTTACACGTATTTTTCTTTGCATATGGTGTGTGTGTGTGTGTGTGTGTGTGTGTGTGTGTGTGTGTGTGTGTGTGTGTGTGTGTGTGTTCAGTGGGAGGGACAGGGCGCTTCAGTCGCAGAAATGGAATGTTTTGAATGAGGGGATGAAAAGGTAGTGAGCTGCAGTAATGTAACTGGATGCTCAAGACGGATTGTTTAGGAAAGAGGAAGCCAAGAAAGTTGGAAAATAAAATAAAATAAAACGAAAAAAACAAAAAGTAAAATAAAAATAAAATAAACAATACGAAAGTTGACCCAAGACGGGTAGCGTTTGATGTTGCGAGTCGCCACAGCTTTTTGCCAAGCCCTGGGCAATTCCCTTCCTACTGCACAAAAGAAACGAGAAATCTGGGTTGATCGAGTGACTGCAGATCTTCTGAAAAGCCGGCCCCTGTTCCCCGAGAACTCTTTTGTTTTCTCAGTACGTTAGACGTTCACGTTCTCTTCCCTGCTAAAACCGGGGCACCTGAGGGACTCCGCTGTTAAGGGACCCATACATAAAGCAAAACTTCAATTAAACATAAAAACAACAGTTTTAGAATGAAGAGTAAGCAGTTTAAAAAAAAATTGAATGAGGAAGAGGAAAAGGAAAAGAAAGGTTAAACGATGAAAAGATTCATTTTTTTTTGTAGGGGGTGGGGGTAACCGCATGCACCACAAATAACCAGTCTGCCACCAGTCGTCAAATTGGACATTCTCACCATGCATCAATCTCTACTATCTCCATTAACAGCACTTCAAAAACAAAGAAATAGTTTTTATTTTATTTGTTTTTACATTTTTAGCAAGATCTGCGCCTCGAGAGAAAATGGTTTTATTAGTTTAGCATGATTGATTGATTTGGTTTTTATGGTTTATCAACACTTTGAAACATTTTTTACGGCTTATCAACACATTGAAACATCTTTTAAATTTTAAGTATAAGTGCTTATTTTTTTGCGAATGAATATGGCATTAACAATTTTTTTGAGATAACAATGATATTTTTTCAGATGCAATCCCTACTATTTAATTCATAGCTGGGAGCAAAAGAGATGGATCAATACCTTTTACAAGGGTATTTGCGGATGAGCGGATGCAATCAACTCGATTGAAATTCTAAATCGGTTCTCGAATTTATCATTCGGATTCGTTATGCTTTATAACACCCGCACATCCATTTATTAGTTTTGGACTCTTTTGCAATACAGTTTTCGCTATTAATCTTTCACGCTAAGGACAACCAACATAGTTTCTATGATTTGGTTATGTTTCTTTGAAACATAACCAAATCGCCATTATTACTTCATCGCCAACCGAATATACTTTTTCTTTTATCTGGTTCCATATTTATAAATATATAGGGCAAAATTGTTAATGTTTAATTTAAAACAGGGTATATTTTAAACTAGCTTAAAAACTGCCCTATTGGGCGCCATTTAAGCTAGTACCTGCGAAGGGCTCTTGATTGGGCATTCCTCACAATAGTTAGCGCGGAGTATATGCGATAGGCAACAATAAACTACAAAAGAACTCAAAATTAATCGCCGCATTTAAGCACTGCGTTAATATTTAAGCTTACTTTTAAAAGTTCAACGATAATTCTTCTGCTTCCACTTAATTTAAAGACAGTTTGAAGTACGTAGGTCCTTACTTTCCGTAAAAACAATTATATTTATTTCATGGGTGATTTTCGCAGGATTTCGCAATTAAATTTGATTCGTAAATTTATTTCCAAGTTAACAAAATTGTTATCGAACAAAAAATTTGTCGCAAAAAATCCCGTAAAAAAATCAGTGAAAACGATCGCAGTAATGAAAACTTTGGAATCCAAAATTTCAGGATTGCTGGCCCGGATCCGATCCGCAATGTTTTAATTTGCTCACGTAGTCTGCCTGATTTCAAAATAGTAT